ATAATATCCTAATATTGTATTAATTTAAATGGTACTTGATGTTAGTAAATTTAAAGTCCTCAACCTTTGTACAACTTTAATGTGATTAGTGCTAATTCACCTGACTGAATCTGACATCCAAAGCTTCTCAACCTTTAAGATACTTTATTTAAGGATACTTTTGTCTATGTATGAAATATTCTACTGTATAAAATATATATTTGCTGCTTATGTAATTTGATCTATATGTATGTAGTAATCAAAGCATGTACAGTATGTATATGTGCTTACATCAGGGTTTGTCTAAGCTGCTATGGGCACCTAATCCATTCCACTGTGGTTTCTGAGTTGAACTACTTTGTTGCTATTAATTTATTAATCTGCTACCATTACTAAAGGTGATCACTGGCATTTGGGATTATTTGTGATAAGTAATAATAAGGCTATTCATAATATGGTTTATTTTGTAACATTCCAAGTGACATGAGACCATGTTTGAAAATTGTGAACCATTATTGCCTTTCTAAATCTGTTAGTTTGCCATGATGCAGTATATTGATCAGTATGATTGCCGTACACATTTTGGTTATTTTGATAACACACTCTACATGTGAAAAGTCAGTATTGTATATTTTGGTCTATAAAGCTTGGTATTTTAAAATTTGCAAAAGAAGTAATAATCTATTGTAACTGCAATCTCTCTGTTTGAGTTTACTTTCAGTTTGAATGCTGAAAATGTTGTGTTGTCTGTAAGAAGGTTCAACTAAAGTTCATCGTTTAAAAAGTGTAATATACATTCTTACAAATTGTAGTCAGTTAGTAGTTAGTAATGTAAATTAGAGTACTTATTTTAGGTTATGTATTGTGACTAGTTTTTAGATCACATTGAATTTGAATAGGTTCATCTTGTACCCCAGTGAAAATTAAATACAAAGAGAAACAAGATCTATTCTGTTCTTTGTATCAACAACATGTACATTACGTCCGGGTTTCCCAGACTGGAGTTCATGATGAACATGATGAATATTTCAAATGTAATCTATTTGCAAGTAAATAATTTTAGATTCTGACATTCTGATTTTCAACGTTAAATCAGCTAATTAGAATGATATCTGAAGGATCATGTGACACTGAAAACTGTAATGATGCTGAAAATTTTGCATTGACAACACAGGACTATATATTTTTGGTTTAATTCAATATTTCTGAATATTACTGTATTTTTTTACCAAAACAAAAAATCTTACCTCCCCCAAACTTATGAAATATAGTGTGTTAGTAGCTGGCTTTTATATTTTAGTCATCCAAAGGGATCATCATATGTGTAGGTCTTTAGCAGATGCTTTTTATTCAACACTACAGGGTCATGTAAACTATTCAGTGTGTGTGGTTACGGGGGATAGAGGGAGGGCAGAAGATAAAGGGAGAGAGAACGAGAACTGCCCCCCTTTGATGGCCAATAACCCAGTTATGCCTGTCCAGTCAGAGCCAGTGACTGAGGTTTGAAGGGGAAAACACACTGACCTGTATGGAGGAAAGCACACACGATCATCTCAGAGATGGGCTGTCCAGGATGGAGACTCCTCTGGCTGGCCCTGCTTGGTGTCCACTTTTCCGCAATATGGTACGTGTTCATTTTATTGTTAACATTATTAGGCTGTTAAATATGGTCTTGTGACTTGGGGAGAAGAACTTTTACACCACTGAAGAGAACTGTTGCTCGATAACTTTGACAGTTGATAACTTTGAAGACAGTTGATTTTATCCAGGGTTTTAAATACTGTAACAAGTCAATGTCTCCATGGTTTTCAAATGATTTTGAAATCAGTATATTATATGAAATGTTTGAGTGAGGTATAATAAAAAACAATGATCATTTGAGCATTTTTACAATTGGTGTTTTATCTGTAATGTTACAATTATTGAAGTAGGCTATATGTAGTTTTTGTCAGGTTTTTTTTTTTTAGAAGAATTGAACCCCATTGTTCTCTCAGTTGGTGTATTTGTCTTTGCCAAGGCTGTCAGCTGTAATTAAGGCTTTAGTGTCACTTTGCTTTCCCACACACACAAAGGCCTGGGGGTGGCAGAGCGGTGGGGGTGGGACTCATCATTACAGTAATGAGACAACCATTGAGATGGAAGGAGCTACACAACCGAACTCTAGAATAAACGGGCCTGATAGTGATTTATCATTGCCAATTGTTTGCAATATGAAAACGGCCTCAAATCAAGCGCAAAAAAACTTAAATTGAAGATGATCCAGCTTGACTGTTTCCCTTCACCCCCTCCAGGTGCAGTCCGGGTGACGGTGAGGGAATCTGGTCTGGAGGTGGTGCGGGGAGATTCTGTTACACTGCCCTGTTCGTTCTTCACCATGATGCCCTTGTTCAGACTCAGCATCATCTGGACTCTGACCCCAGTCTCGGACCCTGACTCCCCCACACAGGTGTGTCACCTATAGATACAGCAATCAGCTAATAAACCTAAAGGCTCATTCACAGCAAGATAGAAAATAACTATAACCAAGTTTCACCAAGTATAACCAAGAGACTAGTGGAGTCCACACCACAACTAGTGATAATGACAATATGGTTGGAATCATGTTTTTCATAGCGTCTTCTCCACCTAATGAACAATTAAAACATCGACAGGCAATCAAAATCCATCCAAATTTAAAGCATGGAAAATAACATAGCATAGAATAAAAATAGTTTATTATCCTTTGGTCTGGATGCTTATACTGTATTGTTATAGGTTGTGTCTGAAATAGCATTCTCTCCAAGTCCTTTTGAATGCATAATGTGTGTAGTATTAATGTAATCTGAATGTACTACATTTGCTATGTTATCATTAACATGTGATCTCTCAGCGTAAGCTGCATAGCTTCATTGCCATTCGCAAATCCTCTCCAGTGGCCTCATGGGATAGTACAGTGTCCATTGGATGCGCACTTCAGAATCTTGCTGAAGGTAGTCATCCGGGTATTTTTCATCCTACTGTTTTATATACTGTGAAGTTGGAATTTTTCCAACTACTATAAAGTTGAGAAGTATGTGATTTCAGATACAGCCATAGCTTTTGTTGTTGGTGTGAATTTTAGTCAGGACAGATGCAGTATTGAAACCGATTATAATGAGGCTGTGAGGGTTAAGGTATAAGTCAAGTCCCTATAGTTCAGTATTCAGGGCACTGACTAGGGAATCAGACATTGTATGTGCTCCTCAATTGTAAAATCCTTCCAGTCTACTGGATTGTTACCTAAAAATTACACAAATTTGGATGCACCTTATGTTCCCTTATTCAGATCTGAAGTGCTAGATGGTTAGTAAACAGTTAAATTTTGTCTAAAATGTTGCAGGGATGTGTAACAAAACAAAGTATTTTTCATTAAAGGGTTAGTTCACCCAAAAATGAAAATTAAGTAATTAATTACTCACTCCCATGCCCAATCCCGCCTGCAATCTATTGAATGGGGTTTCGGGTAGTATATTTGATAGTGAATAGAACTAAAGTTCCTGTCGTGATAACTATTTTACTGCACTCAGGAGTCAAGTCAAGTCACATTTATTTATATAGTGCTTTTTACAATACAGATTGTATCAAAGCAGCTTCACAGTGATAACATGAAAATAATACAACACAGATCAATAATATTGTTGAATATTAAATGTCCGCAACTAAGCAAGCCAAAAGCAAGGCAACAGTGGCAAGGAACCAAAACTCCATCAGGTGATTGAATGAAGAAAAAAACATTGGGAGAACCCAGGCTCAGTTGGGGGCCAGTCTCCTCTGCCAACAAAAGCACAACAATTACAAAACAAATTGGATCGAAACATTAAGAAAATTGTCCATTTCCATCTGTTTCAAAGTCGAAGTCATGCCGGTTTGGAGACGAGATGTTGAGGATCAATGCCGATGGCTGTCGTGTCGATGAGGCCGGCACTTAAGGATCAGTCGGGATGGGTCCAGGCACAGGTCCACCATAGAGGGTCCCAATAGAGGGATAAAAAGAGAAAGTGATATTAGTGTAGACGCCATCCTTCTTTTGATGTACCAAGTACATCAAGATTTAGGGGACGTGTTCCCAGTTCTGGCTGATCTAAACTATGCAGCCTAATTTGAATTTAGGAAGTGTGTTAGAGACTCAAAACAAATTCAAAATTTCGACCCGAAAAAAACGACAGTGTTACCCCTGTCGTTTTTTTTTTTTTTGGTGCGAAAAATAGTTTTCTCCAATCTTCTTGAAACTCTGGATTCTGATAAAGGGCCATGGGACTTACACCTGAGTGCAAAAATGGAGGCTCTAGACCCTTCCAGAGCCGAG